TTTTTTTTTGTTTGCTTTTTCATTGAATAGATCTTATCATACCTCCTTCATTCACCAAAAAGCTGAAGAAAATGGACAGCATTAAAGGCTCTTTCATTGACTTGGAATGTATAGTGGCTGGGTCACATCCCATAAGCATCCAGTGGTTCAAAGATGACCAAGAAATATCAGCTAGTGAAAAGTACAAATTCTCTTTTCATGACAATACTGCCTTCTTGGAAATCAGTCAACTGGAAGGTACAGACAGCGGGACATACACTTGTTCTGCCACCAATAAGGCAGGGCACAACCAGTGCAGTGGGCATCTGACAGTCAAAGGTTGGCAAATTTTACTTCCACTTATCAAGAACTTACAAAATATTTTTCTTTCATTTCTCAATTTTTACCTTTATTGCTAAGTTATAAAATAAAACTTCCTCTTTTCTTTTGCTTCTTTTTTCTTTCACCCCAGAACCCCCTTATTTTGTGGAAAAGCCACAGTCACAAGATGTCAATCCCAACACAAGGGTTCAGTTAAAGGCTCTTGTGGGTGGCACTGCACCCATGACAATAAAGTGGTTTAAAGATAACAAAGAGCTACACTCAGGAGCAGCCCGCTCGGTTTGGAAGGACGACACCTCTACCATTCTAGAGCTCTTTGCAGCCAAAGCTACCGATTCCGGAACCTACATTTGCCAACTAAGCAATGATGTTGGCACAGCAACCAGTAAAGTCACTCTCTTTGTAAAAGGTCTGGTCTCTACATCTCCTCACTTTCTTGCTTGTCTAAATTTTCTTGCCTGGGGGTGGGGAGGGAAAAACGCTTAAGAAAGCAGTTTTGCTCAGTGACCTGTTTTTAAAAATATTGAACATCAACATTCTTTTTCCGTCTTTAGAACCTCCTCAATTCATTAAGAAGCCCAGTCCAGTCTTAGTGCTGAGGAATGGACAGTCAACAACATTTGAATGCCAAATAACAGGCACTCCTGAAATCCGAGTGTCTTGGTATCTAGACGGGAATGAAATAACAGCCATTCAGAAGCATGGCATTTCCTTCATTGATGGTTTAGCCACTTTCCAGATTTCTAGTGCCAGGGTAGAAAATAGTGGGACTTATGTCTGTGAAGCTCAAAATGATGCGGGCACGGCGAGCTGCAGCATTGAACTCAAAGTGAAAGGTTTGTGAATGGAATCTATTCTCCATTTTGGCTGTGCTGCCTGATAGGTTTGGGGTCTTCCCTTAAGTAAGCTACTGTCTTCCTTTTGAATCTTTAGAACCCCCCACCTTTATCAGAGAGCTGAAGCCTGTGGAGGTAGTAAAAGATAGTGACGTGGAGCTGGAATGTGAAGTTACAGGAACACCTCCGTTTGAAGTCACTTGGCTGAAGAATAACAGGGAAATTCGAAGCAGCAAAAAATACATATTGACCGACAGAGTGTCTGTGTTTAACCTCCATATAACCAAGTGTGACCCTTCAGACACTGGGGAATACCAGTGCATTGTATCCAATGAAGGTGGCAGCTGCTCTTGCAGTGCTAGAGTTGCCCTGAAAGGTCAGTTTTACAAGAAGGAGCCTACCAAATAAAAATTCTGTAAGGCTTTTTAATCTTATGATTATGGGTAGGAGTTACAATACATCTCTTCTTTTCACACTCTTTTATTTAACCACAGAACCACCATCGTTTATTAAGAAGATAGAAAATACCACTACTGTTTTGAAAACTTCTGCCACCTTTCAGAGTATCGTGGCAGGTTCTCCTCCTATTTCTATAACCTGGCTAAAGGATGATCAGATTCTTGATGAAGATGATAACATCTATATTTCATTTGTGGACAATGTGGCCACACTTCAAATCAGAAGTGTGGATAATGGACACAGTGGGAGATATACGTGTCAAGCCAAGAATGAGTCAGGAGTTGAGAGGTGTTATGCTTTCCTTTTAGTACAAGGTTTGTAAGCTATTCTCTTTCAAAGATAGTCTACAGAGACAGTTTAATGAGTTTAATTATTTCTAGTGGAGTTATCAATGTAACTCATCCACATTTTCATTTCTACTACAGAACCAGCTCAAATCATAGAGAAAGCTAAATCAGTTGATGTTACGGAGAAAGATCCCGTGACTTTGGAATGTGTTGTGGCTGGAACACCAGAACTCAAAGTGAAATGGCTTAAAGATGGGAAACAAATAGTTCCCAGTAGATACTTTTCAATGAGTTTTGAAAACAACGTGGCCAGTTTTAGGATTCAGTCAGTAATGACACAGGACAGTGGTCAGTATACTTTCAAGGTGGAAAATGACTTTGGAAGCAGTAGCTGTGATGCCTACCTAAGAGTGCTAGGTTTGTATCTTTACCCCAGTCAACTTCCCTTATTTATAGTATGTCCTTTGTAAACAAATAACAAGAAATTAATGGATGTGTTTTGCTGTTTGCATTGGACAGATCAAAATATTCCTCCATCATTCACCAAAAAATTAACCAAAATGGATAAAGTTCTGGGCTCTTCTATTCATATGGAGTGCAAGGTTTCTGGTTCACTTCCCATTAGTGCTCAGTGGTTTAAGGATGGAAAAGAAATATCCACAAGTGCAAAATACAGACTTGTATGCCATGAGAGATCTGTGTCTCTGGAAGTTAATAATCTGGAATTAGAAGATACTGCAAATTACACATGCAAAGTGTCAAATGTAGCAGGAGATGATGCATGCAGTGGCATCTTAACTGTGAAAGGTTAGAATTTCTTTACCTCTTCTTGGTTCTTCTTTGTGAATGGTTCTTAAATGTATCACTCTTACCTTTGTATCCTTTAGAGCTAAAATCTCTATGATTCTGGTTCTTTAGACACATATTCGTTGTGTTCAAGAAATATTTAGCCATTGCCTCTTTTCAAGAGTGTTTTCTTAAATGTCCATAAAACTGTCACAATAATTCAACTGCAAGCAACTTAATTAAATATATCTCTCTCAAAATCTATAGAACCACCAAGCTTCCTAGTGAAACCTGAGCGACAACAAGCCATACCTGATTCTACAGTGGAATTCAAGGCAGTACTAAAAGGAACACCACCATTTAAAATAAAATGGTTTAAGGATGATGTGGAACTTGTCTCAGGTCCTAAATGTTTCATTGGCTTGGAAGGGTCGACTAGCTTCTTAAATCTCTACTCAGTGGATGCTTCTAAGACTGGACAGTATACTTGCCACGTTACCAATGATGTTGGTAGCGACTCTTGTACTACAATGTTACTTGTGACAGGTGTGCAAGTTTGATTGCTTTTATGTTTCTGTCTGACTGTGTCTATGGTTCTCTGTATTCAGTTACAATGTCTCTAAACAATCAAGAAAACAGTATTCTTTCTAACATAGTAGACAGTATTTGCTCATGTTTTTCT